CATCCCCGGCCACCCCAACACCCTTCCGACATCAGTAGGGCGACCTTTCCGTACTTGTCCTAAACTGGAGAGAATTTTCCGGATTTACCGTGTTTTAAAATCGCAACCAATCAGCTATGAAAAAAATTATTCCTGCTCGAGATTTCATTTTTTTTCTTAATAGTGCGATCTGATGTCGGACGTGATGGTTGAGAAGACCAGTAGTGTATTTCGACTAACGGAGGAAGAAGAACAGCGGGTAGAACATAAAGGTTCCTGATTGTCCGAGCGCTTACCCCCACTACCGGCGTGACGTAGAGGAGGGAAGCTCTCGACCAATCGGGAACCTTTATGTTCTACCCGCTATTCTTCTTCCTCCGTTAGTCGAAATACACTATATGAAGAACTTTGTCCTGGTTTTGACTTCTTGACTGAGAGTGAGAGGCAGACAGAGAGACAGACAGAGAAAGAGACAAAGCGATAGATTTAACACGCCTTGCCGTCACTGTTAAAATGTTATGATAATATAAGTTGTTCTGTTGACGTTTTTCAGGTGTGTCGTACATCCTTACCGCGACTGTAAAAAATTATTTGTGACATTTAACTGTATAGAGCGGATGGAGCGCAAGTGAATGTATGGTGGCAGGAGAGGGGGTGGGGGAGGTCCCCGTCAACTAGCGACCCGCTAAAAGGAAGGCAATTCGCTGAACCATATACTGCGCAACCCAACAGTGCTTCAGCCCTCGGGATAAGTAGCACTGAGGAGGTGGCGCGGCGTAGCGCCGTCCCTCTACAAAGCAGAACGCCGGCGACCATACTGTGTTTTGTCGCAAGTGGATGTGTGATAGTGAATCGAGTTTTGTAGAATTTGTAAAGGAAAATTGGGTCCATGCCACACCGGCGTAACCATCTTGTGTCAAAAAGTGCTTCTGCAAAGTTTGGCTTCGGAAAAGTAAGTTTATACAATCCTCTAAACCGTCCCGGTGTCGTTGTTTAGGTTAGTGTACGGACATATTGCATTGCTACTATTTTAACTGAGTGATAATGACTCAACTGTCGTAATAAACTTTGGTTTAGGTGGTACCAAGGTACTAGATGCATAGGCCCGTTCTAAACTGCTTGAATCTAACGACACGCATCCTAACCTCTGCTAGACCGTCGCTCATCTTCTGCCTTGTCTAGGGACGGCGCTACGCCACGCCACCTCCTCAGTGCTACCTTCTTCTTGTTCCTCTTATCGGGCAACTTCCTCATAACAGATGACTATAGGGATCATCCAGAAAGCGTGCCCGTTTTCCTCAGGTAAATTCGGTAAATTCCGGGAGCTGGACGCCTGCGAGACTCAGGGCAGGCCACCCTGCAGCACACGCATGCCCTAAAGGCAAGATGTTGCCTACCTATCAGGCGCTCTGAGGACTTCGTGTTGGCAAATAATGACAGGCCTCTACTTTCTGTATGATCCATTACTTG